CCTTCAACTGTTGAGGCTAAAATATGACAATTTTTGAGTTGATTAAGAACCAGAATGTTTTTTTTGTGCAAATCAGAAAAAAATGAAGAGGCGAATCAGAGAACCAACAATTCAAATTGGTGTGGCCTCAAGCAGATGTCAGGAGGCAAAATCATAACGCTCCTGTCACACATTCAGAACCTTCCCCCGACCACCGGCCGACAAAGGTTGGGGATAGGTTGTGAACAGTTAGACCGGATTTACGCCACGCTTGCCTTTCTGCTAGTATATCAATCGAATTTAAGTTAAAGTTCTGTCAAATTTGATTGCCAACCACGCCCAGACTACTGTTGGTATATTCCCAACCACCAGCCAACCAGTCCCCGACAATGCCCCAGCCTCCCGTACACTCCCGAATGTTTTAAACATTTTGAAAAATTCAGTTGGCCCAGCTGAACGGATAATGGCCAACCATTTATAAGAAAGCGGATAAACATGTAAACAAAATTTAAAAGGCCTTCCCGAGTGCGACGTGCGCAGTGCACAAAATCTTAACAGCGCCACCTATCACTTAAATTCAGAAGTGTCGAAAGAAGTTTTTTCTCCTTGCATCTCCTTGACCAGGGGAGTTAAGCCACCGTAGAGTTCCTTTGCCGGATAAAGAAGAACTTTATTGCACGACAATTGCACATGGTACAATGTATGGCAAACTACGTAAAGAGAGTAACAAACAATAAAATAAATGTGTTGAATAAGACCCTAATGTCGAATAAAACATACCATATCTTGATCATTCAAACAATAAAGGATAGCACAAGTCTTTGATAAAGTGTTACAATCGAGTGGGCTAATCACAAGTTTCGGTATTTTTTTCTAATAACAAAGCATTCCTTTATATATCTACCTATTTTTGCGTTGTGGGACCATTACATGTGAAGATATATTCAAATCTGTCTCCAACATCGAGACTCTTGAAATTATTGTACTTGATTCGAGAAATGTAAATAGCTTGTTACGTATAACATCATATTTGGTACATTCCATAACAAAGTGAAATTCATTTTCTATATGGTTTGGACAAAATGGTCAGAACCTTTGATCAGGGGCTATATTGTAATATCTACCTGTTTCAATATTCAATTTATGGCTACTGATTCTGAGTTATTGCTTTACGAATTTCAAAGTTATCTATATCATAAAGGTTTGTTTAATGAAGCCCTAATTATTGACCCACGCCTTTAGCCAGTCAGACCCTATTTTTGACGAAGTCTGCCATCCTAACCCCCTTTTCGAAAAGCCTGGTGGAGGCTACAACTGACATTAGTATAGCGGTTATTACAAATATATACCCAGCAATGGTTTATAAGTCAACAACAACAGATAAACAACATGACAGGAGGAGAAAAAACAGCGGGTATTTCATCAGTGACAAGATAATTTGACGGTGTGGGTGGCACAGGCTGATGTTAGGAGATTTCTGACATGTGAACCGACAGTTTTTTTTATAAACAGACCATCGTAGGTTCCCCGGTATTTCTACGGTGCTCAGAGCACTGCCCGCCCGCCCAGGTCCATTATCGCACGCCAGTGTTTCTTACGGGTTGGTTTCAAATAGTTTGCTGTACCTTGGGGTTAGCCTGGGTGTCAGATGCTGGCGTTCGTAAGGCCACACCATCTTAATTTTATGGATGACATCCACGCGCGCATTGATTTTCGCCTGTTCTAAAAAAAGAAGATCACGTCCACCTATGCTCTGGCCTGGCTCAAGGCCTGGGTAGTTAGCGACAATACGGAGCCGGGCACCCAGGCTACCGAAGCTCCACGATTCAAGAACTCAGTACATACGTACGGTGTCGATTTATAAATTCCGGCTTGTCGTATGCGTCGCTGAGTACTACCGTAAATTCACAATACCAGCTTTGTATTCCTGTCGTTTAGTAGCATTTTTATTTTGGGCCGGATTTTTTTATTCGCCTGCGCGCACTAGTTTGGGGGTCTTCAGAGGACGTCATCCAGAAAACTAAGTGTGGCCTAATTTATCATAACATGTGTTACTTTAAGTATCGGCTATTCCAAGATCAGGGTGTTGCACTTGGGCCAATTTTTCAAGTTCCACCTTTTTCCATTTTCAGTACTATTGATGCCATGCATTAAGCTTTTTAAATTTTTGGATAGCGATGGGCGGTTTAAAAGTTGCGGTCGCTCAAACTTTTGTGCATTACTTTACAATGGGCACTATACGGAAACTACAGCTCATTAGGCACATAACAGCAATACTCCTTTTATACTCAAATGATTCGTTTTAAATGTGAAATGACATTGCAGAATTAAAAGGAAGTGCTATGCCTGTATCATTTTGATGTATAACCTACATATTCCAATTTTCTAACTAGAAAAGTAACATTTGCAAGGCAAATGCATAATGTTTACCTTCGGATATGGTCTGCTCTGTTAATTCTTACTCAAACACATTCACACATAATTATGTACATGTATATGGTGACAGGAGCCTAAATGCATACTATGAAATTGCAACATGATGTAATCCAACACCAGTTACTATGGTGACAGACGTCAACAAAAGAGGCCATTGGCCAGGTCAAAAGTTAGTGTTTGGAACAGAAGAAGAAGAGGTAGAATAAATGGAATAAAAACAATATGTTTTCCTTCGTTAAACATAATTATATATTGATTACACTAATAAAACCATTATTATCTTTATTGATCTACAGGATGCACTGCTTTGCACTCTTCTCAATCTTCACTGACGTGACCCACACGAAACAATAACTCACAAAATATTTACCATGCGTTTTCTAGATTTTTATTGCCAGAAACCTTGGTTACATAGAGCGGCAAAGCTGACCTATGGGTTCCTTGGGGAATCACAACAGATTACGACAGATTACTATTAATACTATGAAAGTACCTATGTCGGAGAGAATTTGTAAATATTGCTCCTCAAATGCAGTGGAAGACGAAATCCAGTTCATCTCTAATTGTCCATTTTATGATGACATCAGAAAATAATTATTTAGCACCGTATCCAAAATGCTCCATTACTTTCACACCATATTCCCTTCCACACAAAAAAATTACTACTAAAATCAAAGAACCAACATATTATAGAAGAAGTGGTTAAATTCGTCTTTCATTGCCTAAAAAGAATAAGTAAAACTAGTACCATGTATGTTGTAGAATATAGTATAATGTTAGACGTAGATATAGTCTCACATACCACTGTACTGTTGTTAGTAACTGCAATTAGCCCTCGGGCAAGTATTTGCAATAAACTGTATTCACTACTAATACTAAAAACGTCTCTGTAGGAACTTTACTAGGCAGAATTTGAAGACGTTGAGAAGGCTAGGCTATATGAAAATGAACAACATTACGATCAGGTCAAAGACTTATACTACAAAAGACATGAAAGTTTAGAGATGGTTGCAGGAGGAACCCTGTTATCTATGTTACAGGCTGTGATCAGGATATCAGAGAACAATAGAAAAGATACAATTATGTTGGTTTACATATTTTCACGAACAGACCTCTATGTTAGAACAAAAAGGTATATTTTGGCTCCCTGTGCCCTTGTGGTATAGGGCAGACACCACATTTCCGTTGCGCAGTAGAGGCCTCAACGGGAACACGATTGTAGTGCCTAGATAATACCTTCGAAAATCCTTTTTTCTCTTAAAGTTTTGGTCCATTTTGGGGATTTTTGGGCTGGAAGGCACAGGCAGGATCTAAACTTTCCTACTTTGGTCAAGTTTTGTTTATTTCAGCAGTTTAGTGGGCGTAGTGAGAGATGTGAGTGGTTAGGTCTTGTCTGGCCAGGCGGATGGATACCATGGAAAATGTAGGTCAAAGTTGAGGTTTGTTTACTATCATCAGCTGTGGTGGGAATTTGACCTGGTCGTCCCCCTGTTTCCTTTCTATATTTGAGAATCAGACCCTTGTTGCTACCTGGTGCAGGAAAATTTTTGAGATTGAAGTATGGGCAAGTACTTTCACGAGGACTTATAATAGTGTATTTAAGCATGTGTTCCTATGGCCAAATCTAATAGTACTGTCTGCCCTATACCTAAATATCCTTAGAATTTCAATTGCAATTGATATGTCAACAGATTTCCATTAAAATTTTACTTTGGCATAACCATTTTCTGGAAGATGGTGATTTGTTATTTTCAACCCTGATATCCACTCACGAGCCTTGTCATGGTTAAATGAGGCAAAAGCAGCTAAAATCTATGCGGCTGATCTGCAGTCACGGCTGGAAGGCCAGGATGGTGCTCGGCACACACAGGATCCGGTGGGACCATCGCCATTCCGGGGTCCTATTGAGAAACAGAAAAAACATGGTAAAATGTGAGCGGAACTCCGTAAATAATTTCATCAGGTTGGTAATTTAAATGGTAGTGATAAAAAGAACTTTGCTATTCTGTGAGAGGAACTGTTCTACAATAAGAAGTTTTGTCACAGAAATGATGGATTAATTCATGAATTTATTGGCTGATTGATCAATATTAATTTGGCTCGGGGAGGGATGTCCTTAACCCAGCTGACATGCCCTTTAACCAGCTTGGTGAAAGTAAGGCCACACCAATTTAATTTCTTGGTTAACGGATTCGCCCGCTTCATTTTTTTTCTGATTTGCAAATAAAAATAATAATTCAGAATCAACTGCAAAATGCTCATATTTTGCCCTGCCTGAACAGTTTAAAAACAGTCCTTTTCATCCTTGTTGTTACAGTTATTCCATCTTTCAATGCAATGGTATCATTAAAAGTTCAAAATTCATTGTTTAAATTTTGAACCAGCTTGGTGTGTTGACTTCATGGCTCCTATCGTACCATTTTGGACCATAATAGGATGCCTAGGCCTGTTTTATTCAATTTTTTTTCGCCCGCCCGCTCCATTATTTTTCTGAAAAAATCCGTTTACCAAGAAATTAAATTGGTGCGGCCTAAAGGGTCTGTTTTAACCAAGGCGTTTCTACCTGCACGTGTTTCTTACCTCCGGGGTCTACTCCAAGTCGTTAACCACGTCCTGGCCGTACTCCTCAGGCTCGATGTACCTGACGTCGTTGGTGTCTAACCCGCCGCCGGGCCCGGCGTTCTCCTCCCGGTAGATGTCCTCCTGTTCCCCGCGCAGGGTGAGGTCCTCCTCCGACGGGGTGAGGTCCTCCTCCGGCGGGGTGAGGTTCTCCTCCGGCGGGGTGAGGTCCTCCTCCGGCGGGGTGAGGTTCTCCTCCGGCGGGGTGAGGTCCTCCTCCGGCGGGGTGAGGTCCTCCTCCGGCGGGGTGAGGTCCTCCTGTTTCCCGCGCAGCAGCTCGAGGAGGTCGCGGGCTTCCTCAGCCACCCTTGTGAACAATAAAGGCTTGTGATTAATCTCATACCTCGTGCGCCTGCTGAACAAGTCACAATGAACCGTCTATTAAAACTGTCTACAGTTTCAAATGCCATAGTTTTGTCCTGGATATTTACAAAGTTGAGCCAATCGCGACCTCTGAAGTTTTAATTAATACCTGATTATTTGGTAGTAGCTACATGTACTGCTATTGTTTGCTCTTGTAATTCATATCTGTTCGGGTATACTGAAGATATTAGTTTTACAGGAACCAATTTTATGTTAGCTCACCGCTCAAGTTCATTCTCGGCGTTTTGGTCTTCAAATTCTCGACCAGACATGACGACGTTCTCTCCTTCCAGCGACTCGGGAATGCCGCGAGAATTCGACTCCAAGTCGTTAACCACGTCCTGGCCGTACTCCTCAGGCTCGATGTACCCGATGTCGTTGGTGTCTAACTCGCCGCTGGGCCCGGCGTTCTCCTCCCGGTAGATGTCCTCCTGTTTCCCGCGCAGCAGCTCGAGGAGGTCGCGGGCTTCCTCAGCCACCCTTGTGAACGATAGAAGAACTTTATTGCGCGACAATTGCACATGGTACAATGTATGGCAAACTACATAAAGAGAGTAACAAACAATAAAATGTGTTGAACAATACCTAATGTCGAATAAAAACCTAACATATCTATATCATAATCATTCAAATAATAAGGGCTAGCACAAGTCTTTGATAAAGTGTTACAATCGTGTGGGCTAATCACAAGATTGGGTATTTTTTCTTGTGAAAAAGCATTCCTTTATATATCTACCTATTTTTGCGTTGTGGGGACCATTACATGTAAAGATATACCCAAATCTGTCTCCAACATCGAGACTCTTGAAATCTATTGTACTTTATTCGAGAAATGTAAATAGCTTGTTACGTATAACATCATATACAATAAAGGCTTGTGATTAATCTCATACCTCGTACGCATGCTAAACAAGTCACAATGAACCGTCTATAAAAACTGTCTACAGTTTCAAATGCCATAGTTTTGTTCTGGATATGTACAATGTTGAGCCGACTTTTGAAGTTCTAATTAATACATGGTAGTTACATGTTTAAAGTTAAAACTTTTGTTCCAACACAAAAAATTCTCTCACCTAGAGCTTTCGACCAGACACTCTGGTCTTCACTGGGTCAGTCTATTGAGGAAGACCAGAGTGCACTGGTCGAAAGCTCTAGGTGAGAGAATTTTTTGTGTTGGAACAAAAGTTTTAACTTTAAACATGTACTGCTATTGTTTGCTCTTGTAATTCATATCTGTTCGGGTATACTGAAGATATTAGTTTTACAGGAACCATTTTACGTTAGCTTACCGCTCAAGTTCATTCTCGGCGTTGTGGTCTTCAAATTCTCGGCCAGACATGGTGGCGTTCTCTCCTTCCAGTGACTCCGGGAGGCCGCGAGAATTCGACACCGACCTTGAGAACATGACATAGAGACATAGTGACAAAGTTTAATCCTTTCATTTCGTATTGAAACTACGACTAAAACTTTGTAACTATGCATTATACCAACACAGCTTTCATTCAACATAGAGACATGTAAGAAAATAATTTGCATCAGAAACATCGGGACACTTCTACCGAATTCAGAAGATTATCACAGATCGGCGCAGAACATAGAAAACTAGTGGCCAGGTCCTCGCTGATACCTGACCAGCCGAAATTCACCAATTTCACACTTCCCATAATGCCTAGTAACGGTCACGGATATGACGTAAGAGCACCCCCTCCCCCTTCCTCGATGTAATATTTCCAACAAGTTCTATCGACAAACTGGTCAACCATTGTTTTGAATTATTTCTCTAGTATAAAGCGCTTGCCATAATAGCATTTTTGTTGGAATTAGAGAAAATGACGTACCTTCTATCGTTCTAATATACGTAATGCGACAGTGCGAGTAGGAGAGCCAACAAAAATGCAATTATGGCATGCGCTTTATACTAGAGAAATAATTCAAAACAAAAGTTGACCAGTTTGTCGTTAGAACCTGTTGGAAATATTACATCGAGGAAGGGGGAGGGATGGTATTACGTCATATCCGTGACCGTTACTAGGCATTATGGGAAGTGTGAAATTGGTGAATAGGAACCTTAGGTTACATGTAGTAAAGCTGGATTTGGGATTCATGGTGAAACCGTGTGCTTACGGTATGGTTAGTTGGTGCAATGGATAAATGTTTTGGGGGAACGAATGAACCGACTATTCTACACGAGAAAACCACCTACTCCTGCCACTTGGTCAGGTCCATCTGAGACAGAGAGGAGCACGCCACCCTTTCGTTCCCAGTCTGTGTGGGCAGCATGAAGACGTCCGGCTGCATGTGTGTGGTGCCGTCCGTGTTGTCGCACAGGATCCGGGCCAGACTGGTCTTCCTGATCTCAGCAAGTTGGGCTGGAAAAATTGGGAAACGGAAAAAAATGAATATCATCATTCTGAGATGCGTCCACTGACACCAGACCTAATCTCCAAGCAGATTCAGTAGGGCAATGGGACTTATGTATACAGGCTGCCAATGGGTACAGGCGACTAACATAAAGTCCCCTTGTTCCACCGAATCTGCTTGGAGTTTACACCAGACCTTCATAGTCTTGTATGGCTCAATCATTTTTGGATCCTTCTGATGAGTTCAGCTAGAAAAAGTGCAAAGAATATCTGAATGAACTTTATTGCTCAACAATCGTACAAGGTACAATGTATGGCAGTAATACAACAATACTACAAAACTTTACTTACTACAAACTGCTATCTAAACAGTATTTGAGTTACCATATGGCCATGTGTTGATGATTATGTTCTCGCTTATGGAATAAAGTGCACAAAAATTGGCCTACATGAACAGATACGGTAGTTGGACATGACAACAATTCATGGAATGTATCGTACTGTGTACCAGATTGGGTGAAGTGTCTTAGTAGTAATAGTCTGTAACAATGTATCTCTTTCTTTTCTATAGGTGGGACAAGTCATGCATAACAAAATGAAATTCATCTTCAATACCCTCAATGTACATGTTGTATAAAAGGTCCTTAATTCCAGTACAAACATTTTTTTGCCCTATGAAATCAGGAGGGTAAGTTTAGCTTTAGCCAACCTGCTGTAAACTGCCCGCGGTTCTCGAACCAGAAGCGGTCCCCCTTGCGGAGGGCCTGGAACTGCAGGCCGATCAGACAGGCGAAGGTTGGACCGACGACACCGCCCGGCACGGACTCCTCGGCAAGACCCCCCACGAACACGTCGATGTCGTCCACGTGGCTGTGCGAAACGAGACACGTGCAACATTAGAAATAGTTAACAGCCACTACATATATGACAATCAGCAATATATCAACATGGTTCAAAGTGTTTCCGTTCTGGAAACGTTTGTTCACTGTACATGTTTCTAAAGTGATGCTTGACTAGAGAAAATACAACATCATAAATTTGTAGAACAGAACCACCACCTTAAAGTTTACTCTCCGTGTAAACAGTATTTGAAAATCTCTTCAGTATGCTTGCTAACAAACTCACCTACAGATACACATTTGAAAATACGGGCGCTCTTATACAGCTGTAAAAAAAAAAAACCTCTATAATGTACTGGTACATACACCTCTATGGTAACATGTTTAACTCGTAGAAGCCGCACCTGTACAGCTTCTCCAGTCTCTTTCGGCTGAAACCGTCTGGGATTTCAGACGCCAGTTCGTCGAAGCTGTTGGCTCTGGGCAGGCCACACCTCACCCTCCAGGCGTTGTAGCCGGGCAGCCCGTGGTCTCTGCCCCGCTGGATGTTCAGCGCCGCCAGGTCCAGGCCGAGCGACCCGGGAGGATCCGCAAACAGCTGCTTCGTCAGGCTCGAGACCATGAACCGGGTGAAGTCCTGATGGGGCTGGGCGGTCAGTCCCCGTAGGATGGAGTCCGGGCCGCCTTGGTCGTTGTTGAAGATGTGGGATGGAGTGAAGAAAGCAAAGGCCAGCCGAATTGGGCACGCGCTGGCCTCGTTGAAGTCCGGATCATAGCGTAGGAAAAGGTTATCAACCAGACTGTGGCCGAACCGGTAGGCTGCCGTGGCGAAGACGTTAGAGATGGTGGGGTTCACGCTCGCGTCGTACCCAGAGAAGAACCCGCTCTGGAGGAGGGTCAGGTGAAACTTGGTCATGGCGGCCGGACCGAGAACGTGAGGAAGGTCCTCCCCGTACGTGATCTTCTGCATCAGCGCGCCCACGATCTTCCTGGTCTCGAAGAACACCCGATCGTCGTCCCAGTGCGGGTTGAGTTGGGAGAGCCGCCTGGCGATCCTGTTGTGTTCCCGCAGGAAGACGGTGTGCATGGAGGTCAGTCCCGGCTGCTCGTTCACACGGATGTCCCCAGCCTGCGAGCACGTCTCGTTCCCGGGAGACTCGGCACACGGAAGGCCGCCCTCTTTTGCGCCAGGCAGGAGCTCCATCTTGTTTTCGTCCGCAGGGTTCGGTCTGGACTTCAGCAGGCCGCGCGCTCCTGGGAAAACAATAGTGACCAATAGGCGTACTTTAGACTAAAAGCTTGACTGGCTCCGAACATGACATATATATTGCTTAAGTTTCTTAAAGAAATGACATTGCTTAAGTTTCTTAAAGAAATATAAAAGTTTCTTAAAGAAATATAAAAGCGATCAACACAATGTTAACGTTTTAACGGATTCCGTCGGGATGGATAAAGATATGTTAATGATAAGATAAGATATGGCCCGACAGAGCTAAGGCCAGAGTGGAAAACTTTGGTCTCTGATACTGGAGATTAAATGTTAAGTAGTATACCTTTCCCCATTACTACACAGAGAAGTCCCGTTTGCCAACAGATTAACCTGCACTTACGAAGATAATCACAAGGAGACATGTCGTAGGAAGTGGTTCAAATGTCGTATTTTAGATAAAAGTTTGAGAGACTCACCGGAGCCGGGTGTCGGGGTGGCTGGACAACGATACTGACCACTGACGGCCTGACCCACAACTTGGATGTTAGCGGTTGCCCAGTCAATGACGTTGCCATGGTGATTACAGAACGCCGACCAGTCCGCCCCTACTTCAGCTGGAGACAGCACGCGGTCCCAGAGGTTCACCTGTGACAGTTCTCCGCTAAACGCTTGATTTCTGGCGAACCCTCCCCCAACTCGGTCTTGCTCCTGTGCGAGGATCAATGTACCACCGCTGCGCACTCTTCCACCGCTGCGAAATCTCGAGCCGCTATTCTTCAGCACACCGTCAGCGAAGACCTGCCAAGAGCCATCACTGCTGCGCCAGGTAACACATAAGGCGTGCCGCGCGCCGTCCCACACTGGCAAGGGACCCAGGACAACTTCCTGGCCTTGTATATACAGCTGAAAAAGATAGATATTTTAATTATGACATGGGAAGTTTCATTTGCTGTTGAGGACATGCGGCACCTACTACTTGAGACAATAATGCGTCAACGAGACTATCACATTGGTGTGTGATGAATACCAAAAGAAAACTCGTCTAATGCGTATCTTGCAGGTAAAAGCATTTAATCAGTGACGGCCGGCGGGTTATGCCACCAGAACTGGAAGCTATCAAACAGAATTGTACACGTACCTTAAAACCGCGCCCTCCCTTATTGAAGACGAGTAGCTCGTTGGCCTGTTGCGTCACAGCGTAGCTGACCAAAGCTGCGTCGCTGCTGGAGCTCATGTCGGTGCGCATGTGCAGACATAGTGTAAAACTCCGTAAGTCCTGAGACAATGGCGTCATCAGCCTGACGTAGTTATTGGTGCTGCGCGGAGAGGGGAAGGTTGTTCTCTTCTGGTCACCTGGTGGGGATGGAACGGCAACATTGTCAAACTTGGGACTTTTTCATTTACCTGTATATTGAGTAACCCACTCACCAAACTTTGACCGGTCATTTTTCCTTGTTCAGGAATACTGACCTCCGTACGTCTCACACGTGGCTTCATGGAAACAAGTGCACATGTAGTAGTAGGTCAAAGGTAACATTACTGTCAGAAAGGAGTGGGTTTGCATTTCCAAAGCCATATCCGATCTAACGTAATTCAAACCCAACACGTTTACATTAGTAGTGTTATGAACAGAATTTCTCTACACTGATTTCGATTGTATTTGCTTCCTATCATTGCTTAATCCATTTATCTATATCAATAAGTTTTTTAATAACGATTGCAGCAACACTCTTTCATAAAATAGTTACAATAATCATGAAATCAATGGCAACATTGCAAAAAGTGGTGAAGATTATAATGATCGATGGTTACATCAAAATGGAGCCTTTTAATTGGTCAGCGCCATCTGGCCATATGGAAATGTCTCTTAAATTTTTGTCGGCTGAGTGACAGGTTGACCTGACATCATGACTCATAACATCTAAACAAAGGGTATTTGTCAAACCAGCTCAGCCAACTCACTTATTAAAGGGGAGACTGCCCCCCACGAGAGTTTTTGGGGTGCAAAAAAAAGGGGAATTTATCAAATAGGTTGAATGATTTGCCGGATGAGTTTGCCGGCAGATTTACGTCTGCTTACAAAGACTATGTCAAACAACAGTTGTATGTAGAAACTCACCGGAGCCGGGTGTCGGGGTGGCTGGACAACGATACTGATCACTGACGGCCTGACCCACAACTTGGATATTAGCGGTTGCCCAGTCAATGACGTTGCCATGGTGATTACAGAACGCCGACCAGTCCGCCCCTACTTCAGCTGGAGACAGCACGCGGTCCCAGAGGTTCACCTGTGACAGTTCTCCACTAAACGCTTGATTTCTGGCGAACCCTCCCCCAACTCGGTCTTGCTCCTGTGCGAGGATCAATGTACCACCGCTGCGCACTCTGTCACCCCTGCGAAATCTCGAGCCGCTATTCTTCAGCACACCGTCAGCGAAGACCTGCCAAGAGCCATCACTGCTGCGCCAGGTAACACATAAGGCGTGCCGCGCGCCGTCCCACACCGGCAAGGGACCCAGGACAACTTCCTGGCCTTGTATAAACAACTGAAAAAGGTATATATCTTAATTATGACATGGGAAGTTTCATTTGCTGTTGAGGACATGCGGCACCTACTACTTGAGACAATAATGCGTCAACGAGACTATCACATTGGTGTGTGATGAATACCAAAAGAAAACTCGTATAATGCGTATCTTGCAGGTAAAAGCAGTAAATCAGTGACGGCCGCGCGGGTTATGCCAGACCTGGAAGCTATCAAACAGAACTGTACAAGTACCTTCAAACCGCGCCCTCCCTTAT